CCGGGGACAAATGAAAAGATTTCTTTCGCTGGACAAGAACATTTCATAAGAGTGTCAGGAATCATTCGAAGCTTAACTATCTGTCAACTGCGCAAAATAGACGTTTTTTCAGACAGATAACGCTGTAGCATACAAAATAAAATTATGTTCCACACCCGCGCGCTCCTTCATCTTTTTCACGTGTATAAACTCGCAGAACGACGAAAAGCATATGAACGTGTAGAGGAAATCTCGCATATTTGAGTAAATTGTTTTATCTGGAGTTTCTCTTAGAGCAGATAAAAAATTTCCAATTGAATAACAAGTTGCACCCCACATATATCGCTTAAGGCACCGATCGGTCGCGCAGCCCTCCCTCAATCCGTTAGCTTCTCCGATGAAGAAGCCCACCAAATATGTGAAGGTCGACCAAATTTTCCAGCTACACTACAGTGAAAAGCCCTTCCAAATAATAAGCACAGTGTTAGTATCACTGATATTTCGCTATCGATTGATTAATGTTAAGCTAAAAAAGAGCTCAATCCGGCGAGGTGCAAAACACAAATCCGTTATTTCTTCTACAGCGCTATCAATAAAGCTTTTCCAGAAAGCAAAATTTTTTAAGTTCTTCGAAATTTCAGCTATTGAAGGATAACAAGTAATCTAAGGAAAGAGTTTTGCCCAGCGAAATATAAGCGAAATAAGAAAAAAAAAGCAGGTGGCGCGCATGAAAAATAGTCTTATTATGAATGCTATCGCGTTATGAAAAGGCTTGTTCGGAAACGACCATGCAGTGCGGTAGTCAGAAATCTAAACTTTCGAATGACTACGAACACCCTTACAAAAAAATTCTTGCTCAGCGAAAGGAGTCGTTTTTCCACTTGCCCGCGGATAACAGAAAAAGACTATAATATGATTATACGTAAACACAGATGTATGTACATAATGTACAAATGCATGTGTGCATATATATGCACATATATATACATACACATATGCATATATATGGCACATATGTGTATAATGTAGCGTGATATATACGGATATATATGTATATGTGTAATATATGTATATATATATATATATATATATGTATACATGTTTACCTATTACATATACAACAATAAATATGTGTAATAAAAGCGGTAATAAACATTAGCGCGAGGAAACGAGTTATGTACAAGTGCTGGGATTCGCACAATAAAACCTGATGACGAGTCGTATGAATTCAAATCATACTGAGAGAAATAAATTCTTGAGGACTAGCTGTATAGGAGGAACCATCGCTAGTTAATCAATATATCTATATTAACTGCCTAAATGTTAGAGGAATTGTCTCAATAAACGCTCCTTTAGTATGAAACACTCAAGTGAGATTGAAAACCTAATGACGATGTTGTTGGCGTAAGTGATTAATTGTTGCATAGGTATATTGAGTAAAACATAATATCAGCGTTATGTAAAATATGGCTTAAAAAACACATTTTTTTCAAAAGATTAAGAACTGTGTCATTTTTTCAAGAGTATAGTTTTCGTCTTGAGAAGTAACGATTTGTAAGGCAACTGGGTATTTTCTATTCCTAAAATTACGTTCGTCTAAAAATGATCCGACTACCTTTTCGCAGTGATGCGGTTCCCGCGAAATCGAATTCTATTACATAAGTGCCAATGAATTTTCTGTGAAGTTAGAAGGAAGGGCTGACCGTTACAACAGCAAATGGTAATATTTTCGCTACTGGAACGCATTATAGAAGTTCTTGCGGAAACCAAGCCTGGTACTAAAATCTCCATTCTTCGAGCTATCGAATAGGTACTAATAGCCTAGTGAAAAAACCATTTCTAGAAAAAAGGAATGACTTACAAACACATTCCATGGAATGCGACTGCATGCAACAGAAACCACATACACAGAAGAAGATTTCCAAGACATTTGGGTATTTTTCTCATTAAAAAAGAAGTCCTTTGAATAACAAGTTGTTTTCACCGATGTGAATTGTGAAGGTTTTATAACATTTGAGTGTAAGATAAATAATTTATTCATTCACATTCTGCTCACCTATATTTTCCAAATGGTCAGCTTTTTGAATGTGTTTCTTCCTTGTAATTCACATTTTATAGTTTTTGATCTCTTTCTTTGATTTTGTGATGACTGCTCGTGTTATTGATTACACATCTTTTCTTAATCACTGCAGCTGTTCAACGAGAGTCACTTCGAAAGTATCTATTGCTCCATATCGAGGATTCGGAAGAAAGTACCACTTTGGTATTCCAATGAAGTGTGTAAAGTAATTGAGAAACTAAGGATAGCATTTTCAATACTCATCTGAATAAATTTTACTAGCTTCAACACAGTTCCCGCTTCCTTCGTGTTTAGCTTATTACACACGAGCATCTTCATTCGTCCTGATATAGCCGTACCATGGCATTCTTGTGAATTTAACTGGACAATTTAAAGTGAATCATAGCCTTATATTCTCTCAGATTTACAGCCTCTTCGTGAAACTTTTGTCGGTGTGGCAAAGCAGACCGGTTGGGCGGCTTCTCGGACGGCTACCGTATGTCTACTTATGGGAGCAATTCTAGCACTTTTTGAAGCCGTCGCAAAAGCAGTCTTCGGCGATACTAACAGTGACGACTACGATGTTAGTTAATCGGCTTTCTTCTACTCTTTGGTATTGACCTAAGTGTTTTAGTTGACGACGACACGTTCTCTCTGTCGCTCCTTATAATCGCTTAACTCAGGGTTATTCAAGTGTTTGTTACTGGAATACACTATGATTTGTTGAATGGAGATTATGGAATTACTGAATGCGCAAAAGCGAGCATGGTTCAATCTGTTCCTCGTTATCATTACGTTCGCGCATTGATTGATCTGCCTGCTTCGCATTTTATCTAGTTTTACTGAAAAGTAACGTCTAACGTGGATACTATGCATGATTCCTTGAAGGATTCTATATGTTGTGCACAATTTGTTCAAAATTGAAATCGCTGGCGCAAACAATGGGAGATGTTCGTTACTTCGAAATTTTATCACCGTTTTCTTTTGAAAGGATGCATCCGGAAATTATCGAAGCAATGGCAATGTGCGAAATATTATTCTTGAAATGTCTAACATTAAACCTTATCTCTTCTCGATGGCACTTTCCCGTAGGTATCAGTTTTGTCCTTACCTGCTATTTATATAACTTAGAGAATTGAGTGATGAGCAAAAACACGGCCTTAGGCGGCAATCGAACCCGCGTTTCATCCTATCCGGGGACGCGTGCTCTAACCACTACACCACCGAGGCACATTTGCCCGACCACTCACTTCCATTCCTACCTGTTTTTATGACTATTTGCAATCAGATTTTCCTAACTGCTCTCCGCCCAATAACTGACGAAGAAAAATGCGAGGTTAGCAAGCAGGTTAGTGTTCCAGTCGATATGGAAAAAAAACTGTGGTTTCGAATTGACTAAGTGGTATACTTCAGATACATACTCTTGTGAGGTAGACTGCTGTTGATTCATTCGTGGTGTTTAAACTGTACAGCGAGAAGTCGATAAGCTTCCTGGAATCACAACTTTGACGAAAAACAGGAGCGAAAATTCGCGGCTTCATGTGCACATCGAGCTGGAAGAATCTCGAGAAGAAGTGGAAACTTTAGTGTGGCGGACTTAGTTGATATATCGTAATAAAGGGTGACGTGCCTAACATACGATGGTGAAAATCATCTCTTCACGACGTTCAACCAATCAACTGTATTGCTGTGCACTTGAAAACAGCTACTGATCGCTTTTGAATCCATTTTTCACTTGCAATCTGTCACATGGAGAGCACCATCTGACCGCATATCTGATAAAGCGAAAATCATAAATAAAGGTGAATTGTAAAAATATAGTATTGAATTCATTCTATGACCGACTAATCAGAATACACATTCATGTCTCTTGAGGTGTTCGACACTATGTAGGGCTTTAATCTGATAAGGATATGACATGTTTTGAGCCGATAGGTCTAGTGCTATATAGGCACCTATTTCGTCCTATCGGGACTCATCAGTAGCACCCTCCCCCGGTTCCGTCGATACCTTGAGGTCAATAATCCTCTAAAGGAATTGACGCCGAGTAAAACTAAGCATCCAAAGTCGGATGATGGTATTACCTGACTTTGTGGTGACCGGCAGTCGAGCTTGCGGCTTTTAAAATGAACCATACCTCGTTTTGAGCGGGTCTGTAAAAAAAGCGGTCGATAGCAGAACTATGTAGGGCTTTAGCACTTGCTATCACTGCAGTATAGGGTGATCTTTCTAATTCACAGGCAGTGTAACTAATTCGGCATCGATTCCTTGATTTGTAGAGGTATAATCCCTTGTAGGGGAATGGTTGAATGGGAAGCACCGTGCTACTGATGAGAACAGACGGCCAAAACCTATGCCAACCATCAAAAGTGCCATAACATACATCATGAGAGGCTTAAGATATGCTGCTAGGGTGTAGTAAATATTAAGCGAGGTCATGGAAAACAATTTAATATAAGAGCATTAATCACTTTTTTACTTGTATAGCAATTTTTTTAAAATTTGTCAACGCGCTGATCTCATTACTTCTAGCGTTCATTCGTCTTGCGTTCATCACTTGATTGAGAATTTATCTTTTTCATAATTGTCGTAGAACACTGACTGAGCGCGCCTCTTCGCAACCTCTAGTATAGCCAGGATGCGGCGTTTCGCACGGAAGTAGTTATTTATTGCCGCAGTGTTGGAGGGTGTAGCCTGTCGGCCACCGACACCTTTTTAGCTGATCATACCAAAAAATGATGATGGCTAGCAGTAGAATGTTCTGAGAATAGAGTTATGGTAATAACTACAGTACTTTGCCCGGATGTTTGCAGTGGGTTTAACCTCTCAACGTCTCCGATTTCTAAAGTAATGTTCGTGCCAATTTTCTGTAATGTTTATGACTTCTAGTGTTTTGACTGATTTTTTTGTAGTGTTATGATGTGCTCAACAAACCTAAGAGAACTGAGTGATAAACAAGGACTCGACCTCAGGCGGGAGTTGAACCCGCGTTTCACCCATACCGGGTGCACGTGCTACCATTACACCACCGGGCGCCGTTTCGCCACCACTCATTCCTCAGTGTCTATCATACAACTGTTAGTCACCACCCTAAAGTAGACTTGGTCGAGTAAGCCATATCGCCTTGTAAATCCAGTTAAGCTGACAGGAATCAAGTTGAGCTGATTAAGTTAAATCGAGTTAGATTACACGATCAAACCAAATTTCTGTATTTTCATAAATTCCTCTAAAGCGTAACTATTTACTTTATCGACTGTATCTCTGAATGAATCCAAAATTTCTCTATTTTCGTCAATGATTTGAAGTGGATTGAATCGTTCGATGGTGCTGTCTTTGAAGTAAACGTGCTCTAATCGAACAATTGAGCTGTTCTTGTAGACGCATGAATTTTCCGCGGTGCTTCAATCGGGTTTTTTACTCTGGTGTTATTCTTTACTGATCTGTCGACCCACTTGATATTGCAGTTAGACTAAGAGAGTAAGTGACTTAAGATGACAACGGAAGAAGTGGAGGACCGATCCGCTTCGTGTTATTTTTGCTGGACGATAATCGTCGGCGGCATACTGCTACTGGCGATTCTGATATCCGCGAAAGTCCGCTTTTCCTGAAAATGTTCCTCTATCTGACGTCATTAATAATTTCTGGAGCCATTGGCGGAATTCTTAGTCTGCCATACGGCCGAACAACCGAAAATCATCGGTGAGAGCGTTCTCTTCCACACTTCCTATTCTTTCAGTTTGTCTTTTCCTTTTCAATTGTTTTTTTTCATTCTCAGTTCTCCTTGTAATCTTGAATAATCGATTTTTAGTCGAGTATTTGGTACTTTTCAATTATTGTGCTCTTTTTTTCTGCGACTTCGTTATACCTTCCGAAATCGACACTATATTGACGGCGATCGACCGTTCATTATCATCGCTAATCATCAAAGTGCTCTCGATGTACTCGGTAAGCGACCCAAATCTTTGGAATATATGTGAAGTCGTAGGAGATTTGTGGAGTTAGGATGTTACACGCATGTGGCGCAAAGGCTAGAGGTGCCCTGTCACCCACAACAGGTGGTTGATCGTGTACATGGTTCGATCCCGAGCACGGGACTTATCGAGCCTTGCATCCCTATGTGAATCGGTACCAAACTTGTTTAGGGGGGATAGCAGAGTTTTTATATATAATGCGACGACAAGTAAAGGACCGATCCTTTTCGCTGGACAAAAACTTTTCACCAGAGTGTTAGCAATAATAAGGAAGCATATCTCTGGCTAGAGCCTTTCATGACAGTGTTTAGAAAAGGCTTTCTAGAACGCTGTAGGATTCAGAGCAAGTTTATTTTTCACACGCACCACTTGCTTTTTGCGTTCGCTTATATTTCGCTGAATATAACTCTTTCCTTAAACTACTAGTAATCTTTCGATAGCTCAACTCTCGAAAAATCCAGTAATATGTTCGCTTCCCGGAAGAGCTCTTTTGCAGCGCTAAAACAATGAGAAAGCGTTTGTTTTTCACAAGTCTTTTTTCTTATAAAACAGAGCTCTTTCTTTAAATTACTAATAATCATTCGTTAGTTTGTTATATGCAAGTCATTGGAAAGAATTCCGAAAGCTTTATTCTTTTGCTTTATAGATTTTTATCTGTGAATAGAAAGCGGTCGTCAACTACGAAATCGCATTGCTCGAGCGAATGTGGCTTGCTAGGAGGCATAGGCGCTCTTTAAAATAACCTCGATCTTTATAGAAGTCTCCTCAGGGATAGCCCATGTTTTCGGCTTGGTACTTTTCTGATAAGAAGATTTTTTTGTGAACGATTTTTTCCACTAGACTTTCGATTGTGAATTATAGGACTAAATCTCTTAGAATCCAAAAATGTAGTTGTTTTTTGTGACGGTCTTCTCACAGCGCTGCAGCAGGTAAAGCAAAATTGCGTCTTACACGCGTCTCTCACTTTCTCGTTTATATTTCGCGGATAGAGCTTTTCACTAAGATTATTAATTACCAATTGACAGCGTTAATCTCGTAGGTTTCAGATGTATCTGCTTTGTAAAAATGCTTTATCACAGCGGCGAGTTAGAGGGAATAGATTTGTGTTTCACATATACACATACACACACACACACACACACACCACACACACACACGCACACGCACATATATTTTCTCACATAACAGGGCTTTTCCCTCGATAATTAATAACTATTCAATAGAGTGAGTTTTGGAAATATTAATGCTGTGCTTGTTTTCTGAAACGACCGTTTGACTGCATGTGGCAGGGGAAAGAAGATGAAACTCCAAACACTCTGCGCACTGCCTGTCGGCTATATACAATAGTGGCTTTGGATCGATAGCGCGATCAACTGATCGTGCAGCGTTAGCCACAGGTGGCGTGTGACTTTTGTTATACAATTCATGGTTTTGCTCCCTCAAAAAAATCTGTATAAAACATTTGACTCTGATACTACAAGTTTTTCTCTGCACGTTCGTGTACTTTTCGTGTGTAGCTTGAGACTACTTAGGCTTATAAGCGGTTATTTGGCAAAATATAGTATAAATGAAAGGTGTGGGCTCACAAAATGATAGAACGAAGTTCTACAATGCTTCTACAAAATGCTTACAAATCTGTTCGAAACGGAGGGACAGTTTTCAATAATGAGCGAAAATCTGCGCGACAATACATGACATATGTAAATCACTGTTTTACATCCCTGCTAGAGCGATGTGAAAAGGCTCTCTAAAATTGAAGCGCATATTTGAAATGTTCGAGATATACGCTATCGAACGGTTACTAAAATTTTAGAGGAGGAACTCTGCCCTGCGACAAATACGTCCGATAACGCTCGATGGCGCACAATGCGTGTGAAATACAATTTAATATTACATGCTACAGCGCTGTAAGGAGGCTGTTTTGGAAAATAAATGCACTTTGGAAATTTCGAAATTCACGCTATCTACGGTCAGTAGTAGTTTAGCGAAAGAGCTTTGTCCAAAGAAATATAAGCGCTGTAATGCGCAATGCGTGTGAAACAAATTTTTGTTCTTAGCTCAACGGCTTTGTAAGAAGGTCTTTCTAAAAAAAACAAGCTTATTTTTGAATTCTTTGATGTCGAAGCTTTCGAATATCTACTAACAATCCAGTGGAAAGTCTTGTCCACCGAAAGGGATCTTTTCAAAAGTCCTGTCCTGTGACTGAAAAATACTTTAATCTTTACTACCATGTTTACCAATACCGCTAGGATTCCAAGCCACGAGCTAACCTTTTTAAAGGCAAAACGTGATGTTCTCTTCGTTCTTACAGCACTAAAAGAACACCCTCGAAACTCTCGGCGTGAATCAGTCTCTGAAGGATGCGCCAAGCGTTAAGCTTCATGTAGCATCGTTTGAGGTGATTGAACAAATGTTGGCCAATGTTTCGACTCGCCAGGACAATGACTCGAGGTAGCCTAACAATCTACCAAGTCAGTGCTGTTATCCTCCAAGACAAGCCTAATACCACTACCGATCTTTGAGTAATGGGAGACTTGGCGAGCCTTGAGAGCGAGATGTATCATCGATCATCGATGATCGACCAAGTGTATCGCAGAGCTCCTCTAACCATCTCGCTATAAGCTCTCTACCGTTTTACTTATCTCGTTTATTTGCAGGAATGACATATTGCTGGCCGAAGAATTGTGTTGTTATGCTAAAGAGCAGCTTGAAGTTCTTACCAGGCTTTAATCTTGCTGCTTATTTATGCAATGCAGTTTTTATCAATCGATTTAGTAAAGAAAAAGCTCATAAAGCTTTGGATTCAACATTAGAAGCGATAACTAAATATCAGGTAAAATTGAATTACTTATAGAATTCTCAATGAATCTTGTTATCGATTGCTATTCATTGTCATTCGCACAGCTTTTTCTTTCAGCGAAAAGTTTGGATCTATCCTGAAGGTACGCGAAATCCTGGTAATGTTATGTTACCTTTCAAAAAAGGAGCGTTTGTTCTTTCGATGGAAGCCAAGGTATCATACTATCTACTGATATTCTTAATTCCGAATTTATCCCTATAGTCTTGTACACTTCCCGGCAGTGTAGTGGTAGGTATACGCATGCGTCATATGCGACATCCGAGACCATTCCCCAGCCAGGGAATTAATAAGCGCGTGTGACGCAATAGTTAGAGATGCTGTGCGATAGATACGTGGTTGATCGATCGACAGACAATGGTTCGATCTCTCGTACAAAGTTCACCAAGCCTTCCATCTCTCCAGGGTCGTTGAACTGGTATCAGATGTCTGGAAAGGTAGCAGCTATGTACTTGATACATCAGTAGGCCACCATGAGCATTGTGAAGGCCAGATACCGATTTGATTACTTCAAACGATGATACATGGCGCATCCCTCAGGGATTGATTAGAGCCAAGAGCTGTTATCCTTTTTATTGAACACTTCACAGCATTTTGGAAGAATCTTTTTCGTTGAGAATTATCTATTTCCTGCTAACCAAATCTGACCCATATGGACACCATAGATCTTGCACCATTCATTCAATCTTCAGAAGACCAAACTGTGCAGTCCTTCTCTATCCTGAAATTTCACCTTTGTTCTCTTCCTTTTGTGATAAGAATAATGGGAAGATACCTCATAATTATCATTTGAGCCATCATGTCTTGTGGTCTGTTTATGGGCTTCTGTACAGCTCTATACACGTTTTTCGGCCTTAACAGCGTCGTCAGTCGGGCAGGCCCTTCGTCTTTAGCCAGTCCTTCTGGGGGTGCTCCAGCCTCTCTACTTAGAGTAGGCGAAGACGAACGACTTACACTTCCGTCAAGTGAAATTAATCACTAGATTGGCAGTGTAAATCGTTCTAAAATTTGTAAAGTGTATTCTCAAGAACACTCGCAACAAACAGTATCATATTTCAAATATACCAGCCGAGAACAATGGAGTGTACACTGCCGATCTAGTGATTTATATCACTTGACGGTACGTGTAAATCGTTCGTCATCGCCTACTCTAAGTAGGGAGGCTGGAGCACCCCTACGGGATTCGCTAAAGGCGAAGGGTCTGCCC